ACGACGACGAGAGAGAGAGAGAGAGAGAGAGAGAGAGAGAGGGAGATGCATGATTTGTGTTGTGCTTTATTGTATTTACCCAGTATTTACAAGACTAAATTCTAATCAGAAGGACTGAGGGGCTTTTATTTTAGGAAGCAGTAAGGCTACTAAGGTTCCTGCGACTAAACTTTTAATTAAACTATTACCTTTTTGAAAACTATGAATTATGATGCATAATTGTGGTTTTTTTGGTGATTGTTTTCACCAGTAATCCTTACAAGAGCACACCCCGTCTTTAAAGTGGTGGAACCTATACCTATCTCGCAAAAGAATCTCTCTACCATAGATACTTGATATGAGTTTTGCAGCAGAATGGCAATCACTGCACACCCGAAGATTCTTCACAACCCTAATTGGCACTGGCGCACAAGTGCTGATAAGCCCAAAAGAGATTGCCAGCTTCTCACTATGAAGGTACAGAGCTTTATCTTTTACGTCATCTCCCTCTATCTCCTGCAACAACTGTGACCTGTTTGGTACGTAACCATTTGATTTCAACTTTTCTGCAACTTCCCCCAGCTTTGAATATATATTCTTCGATAGAGGATGTTTTATGTCTCCCACTAAAAACTCGTGGACCTCACCATCCACCTCGATTAAGCTTCCACCAGGCTCTTTCTTGACCCCTTTCTCTCTCATCAACTTTCTCACTCTGGTTACATCGTCCCACTGTCCAGCCTTGGCATAAATATTTGACAGTAGCACGTAGGCTCCATCATTCGATGGCTCCGAATTGAGAAGTTTATGACAAGCTAGCTCCCCCAACTTTACATTCCCATGGATTTGGCAAGCCCCAAGCAAGGTTCCCCATATAGAGGCTTGTGGAGTGAAGGGCATGCTCCCTATCAACTCCATGGCCTCCTCTAAGAGCCCTGCACGCCCGAGCATGTCGACCATGCAACCGTAGTGCTCAATATTGGGCTTGACATTGTAATCTGATTTCATGACAGAGAAACATTCTCTCCCCTCATCTACCAAACCTGCATGGCTACATGCACATAACACATTAGTGAATGTGACCCCATTTGGCTCCACTCTCTCCTCTTGCATCCTGTGGAAGAGATGGATTGCTTCCTGGCCGTGCCCATGCATGGCCATGCCTGCAATCATGGCACTCCATGCGTATACGTCTCTCTCTCTAGATTTTCGGAATACTTCTAAGGCCTTCATAAGATCCCCACACTTTGCGTACATATCGATCAAAGCAGTTGTGAGATGAAAATTTAGCTTGAGGCCGTGTTTTTCTATGTAGATGTGAATCCACTTTCCCATGTCCATGGCTCCTAATTGTGAGCAGGCAGATAAGGTGCTCACTAGAGTCACCTCATCAAGCTTTAAGCCTGCAATTTGTAGCTCATGGAATAGAGCTATGGCTTCTTTGGCATGGCCGCCTTGTTCATAGGCTGAGATTAGAGCATTCCAAGCTGCAATGTCTCTCTTTGGCATGATATCAAACTGTTTTCTTGCTTCAGTAAAATCTCCCATTTTCGCATAGCCGATGACGATCGAAGTCCATGAAACTTCATCTTTGATGTGCATTTCATCAAAAAGTCTTTGTGCTTCAACCAAGCTTCCACACTTTGCATACATATCAACCTTGGCGTTACTGAGAGTCAAGGTTTTCTCGACGTTGTTTCTCTCGCTAATATCGCACGCCCATCGACCCAATTCTAGGTCTCCCTTTTGTGCACAAGCTGAGAGGACGCCCACCATTGTGACATCGTTGGGCCTCACATTTTCTCTCTCCATCTCTACAAACAATTCAATTACCTCATCTGGCTTCTGACTCTGAGCATAAGCATTGATCATAGAATTCCAAGATACAACATCTCTCTCTAAACTCTTTGCAAACACCAAGTGAGAATCGGCCAAGTTTCCACAATTGGCATAAAAATGAATGAGAGAGTTTTGCACAAATGCATCAGAAGAAAGACCGGCTTTCAGGACCATGCCGTGGACAGTTTTGCCCTCGAGTAGGGCTGGAATTTTGGCGATGGCCTTGAGAAGAAAAGGGAAGGTAAATTTGTTGGGGTCTATGTTTTGATGGAGCATTTCAGTATAGAGAAGGAGGGCATTTTCGGGACTACGGCTCGATGCATGTGCTCTTATGATGGTGTTGTACATATAGAGATTGGGTTGTGGAATTTGTTCGAATATTTTGAGGGCGTATGAGAGGGCATTTTCTGAATTCGAGAGGGCCGAGATGGTTAAGAGGCGGCTTAGGGGGTAAGGGTGGAAGATGAGGCCTAGCCTGATCAGGTGGGCATGGATTTGTGGGAGTTGTTTGGTGTTCTTGCATCTTTCTAAGAGGATTAGAGATGGGTGATCAGAGAATTGTTTGCTGCTGCTGTTGCTGTTGTTTGGTTTTGGGTTTGTTTGAGTTGAAAGTGACAGCTTGGGTTGGGGAGTTGCCATGGCAGCCATCGCTGTTTATTTGTTTTGTTTTGGAGAGAGAGGGGCTTCAAGTGTGGAAAGAGAGATGGAGATGCTGCTTACATGATTGTGGGGAGAAAGTTATAGAGGAGCCAGGTAGCAGTGGGAAAGGGATGCTCCCTTATAGGTCCCTTCTCGTAATTAGTATTAGTAATTATAAGGTAATAGGTAAGAGAAAGGNGAAAGGAGGAGGAAGGAAGGGGTAGGGGTACCGTTTAAA